AATCTTCCTGCTGATCTTGTATGATTGATCTCAAACTATATTGTTTCAACCAGATTTGGATTTGGTGACATACACACATGTTCTCTATGTATGTATGCGCGGATTGTGGTTTAGGCATTGACCAATGCATTGAGGAACTGTACACTGTACAGCAAACAGAGGGAGAGTGCAGACGAGGATCTGATGCTGTGAAGGAAGGAAGGCCCTCATCATGCACAGATTTATTGTTACAATCTGTATGAATGAATGGAGATTCAGATTCCACATTATTGGAAGTCATAAAGAGGGTTTTTTTGTGGACCAAAACCAAAAGAAGATCACTCAAATGGTTGTTAAAATAATCACAATGATGAAACCAAACATCAATTTTCTTTTTCTTTTTTTTTCTGGTGGGGTATCAATTAAAGCATGGTGGTGGGTTCGCACCTGTCATGTCCTGATCCATCCGACAAGACTCTTTCTTTTTTATATGTGTGTATATATATATGAACAAGATTCTTTGTATTTACAGTGAAAACACTAAACTATGCAATAATATGCCATTTCTATTGAGACAAAACCCATCCAACAAAGTAGCAGACAGGTTTTGGTCGTGACTTGTTTGTTCAAGTGTTCATGGTATAAAAGAATACAAGATGTCGGGGAAAAAGACATTGCAAGTCTTGATCTTACATTGCATGCAAGAACACATCTTTGTTTTTTTTTTAATTAACAATCGAACCATTTATTCATCAGGCAAATGTTTTCAGTTCTCCTCAGTTTCCCGACAGTTCCAGAGAAATCTGAGAAAACTGTTGCATCAATGGCGATTTTCTAATGAAACGTAACTATATAAGTAGCGAAGACAAGGGGGACAGCGTCGACACATTCAAGAGAGTTTTAAAGAAACAATGCAAGAACATAACGCGCAAGATGATTTAGTGTTCTGGGTTCGATCAGACAAACTTTGATAACGGAATAAGAGTAGATAGATGTCTGTGCAGGATATATATAAGGTCTCAAAATCTACTAACCTTCAAACAGCTGAAAAATCCTAAAGCTATGGATAAATATTCTGCATACAGGTTACAGAAAGGGATACAAAGCATGGATAAACGTTACCGGTTCTGCAGGTACTCGAAGCTCAAAGGTTGCTGAAAGAACATTCCCTGCAGATATTTCAGATAGAATCAAACAAAAAGGCTAGGAGGATTTCCGAAAATGCAGAAGGAGAATTCCTCAACAACACAGGTTACGAAATTTCGGGTGAAAAACAGGTACAGAATTAGCGGATCACCTGAAAAGAAGCTTGTCTGAACTGCTCGTATGAATGTGCATACATCATTGCAGCATTCGGCCACTGTGTCTGGATAGCTGTGTTGTTCCTCACAGGTGGGTTTAAGGGGTGACTATAGTTCAGAGTAGCTTGAGCCATCGGAATCTGTGGGAATAACCCTTCATGAAACGGAAGTTGGATTGGCATCGGAGTGAAATTTTGACCCGGTGGCAAAACCCTAACGTACCTGCATTGGTTCATACACAAGTGCATATATTACCAAGATGTTATTTTCAGATTATGGATGCTTCTGAAGCGAAGTTTACACTAAGCCATTAAAGACATGGAAAGGAATCCATATACGTACCTCCCATAGCTCCGGTCATAGTCAGGATCGAAACGATCTTTCTCTCTATCTCTTATGATGGCAACCCGAGATGTCCCTCCAGATTCCCCGATAGTAAGGTTCTTCTCAATATCAACTGAAAGATTCCTTGCCACTTCACCCTCATTTCCTCTCAGGAATGTATGTTTCCCATCAAGAGAAGCTCGTGATGAAGAAGAATCCTCAGAATCCGAACTGCTAGGTCTGTTAAATATACGAGCTCGAGCTTTATCATACTCTTCTTTTCTCTCCTCAACACTTCTCATAATATTCCGCTGCATTCCCATTCCAGTACCTTCCCCACCAGATCCTTTGTTCGGTCTAGGCTTGATTACAATTTTCAGAACCTCAGATTTACCATTCTCTGGCTGTTTCACGGGAATTTCAGACAAGCGGACCAGCGGGTATCTGGTTTCGGCCGTTTTTCTCACAAGAATTCTATTACCAGGGCCATCTGAACCACTGTCCGTGACCATGGTCACAAGTCCATAATGCTGAGCAACACGATGTGCCGCAAGCCGAAGGTAAGATGTCGGATAATGTTGGAACTCAAACTGCTGCTGATCAGGATCTTGCAAGAACCTCTGTACTTCAAGTTCCATGCGCAAAACTGGCAGATGACCAAAGGTCAAACGGAAGAGTTTGAGATAAGGAAAGGATTTCGACCTATCACATCACTATTTGAGCTCATATACTGGAGAATGTCTATAGATTCAGAGTGTCTATGAAAGAACTTGATCAAAAATGAAAATTTAAAACAGAAGACCAAAATTTTGACAGACATCAAACAGAAACCATCCCATATATTCACAAACACGGGTCTGAAAAGGAGTAAAGTACATTTCTCCAAGAGTACAGCAGATGTAACAAGCTCTCGTGACCCAGCTTTATTGAGCTGAGAAGAAAACGATGTTGATTTCAAGCCTGAGTAATCGAGATTAAAAGCCATGGATCTTATCTACCATCAAGCAGTCTAAGAAACCCTAATTCCTAAACAGAAACCATAAATCGGGAGAAATAGTTCCAAACCCTAGCCAGGATCCACAAAGAAAGAAAACCCAAATCTAACGATTACGTAACGAAACCATGTAACTACCGAGAAACGAATTAACGAAAATCAGATCAGCCCACGAAAAGGGGAAAAAAATCGAATTCACTAACTGGTGAGACGATGACGAGGGTTCTGAAGAGCCTCGAACAAAAAGGGATCCAGCATTGTTTCCTTCTCGCCCGGAGCAGCCATGGCACTTCTCTCTCCCTATCTTCCTCGGTTCGTCCTCTCGCCGTTGTTTCCTTCTCTCTCTATCTCAGAAATAAAAGAAGAGATTTCACGAACAAGAAGCAGAAGGAGACGAGGAAGATAGAATTTTTCTGATTAGCATTGTGTGAGAGAGACAGAGACGGAAGCAGCGAGAGAGAAACCCAAATCCAAACCAAGAGGGTGAAGATAGGAAAAGACCCTCCGAAGAAAAAGTTGCAGCCTTTATTTAACCAAAAAAAAAAAAAGTTGCAGCCTTTGAGATGTTTTTAGTAATCTTAAATGTAATTATTATCACGTCTTACTTTTTTGTTCTTTCGAATTTTACAATTTTGTCTTACAAAAAAAACCTGGAATTGTTACCAAAAAAAGAAAAAACAAACAAACTAAAACCCTGAAAAAGACAAAAAAATTCCACCCTGTTAACATTTCGCCGCCTTTTTTATTATTATTTTCACATTTTTATATGGACTATCCATAACACAAACATATAATTTCATATATTTATTTACATGTATGTGTTTGTGTGTATAGAAACTACAAAGGAGATGGTACCCGCATTCTTGTTTTGATCATATGAAATCTATTCAATTTAGGAATTAAATCTTTTTAATATCTAAATTCTTTTAACTACATAATTAATTACTTGTAATTGTTATGCGGATGATGACGAGAATGATCTCTTTTAAATTCTTAAATTCACATTCTTTTTCAGCATATTCGGTTGTCAATTGTCATGAGCTTGTGTATGTAATCACTTCTAAGGGCCAGAATGGAAGTATAGAAATTTATGGGCCAAAAAGAAGAATTAGGAAAGTGAATACACGCGCAGAAAGCGCGTTGAGAAATATATTTTAGTCCCTTAATCAACACGGAATACTCGTGGTTTTCTGTGTTGTCGCCGTCGTCGTCTTCACTTCACCGCGAAAAGTCTCTTTCCTCTCTAGAAGCGAATCGATACAGAAAAAAAAAAACATTCATCGGTGATGACGGAGTCGTTGATCGCTCCGCCGCCGGCGATGCCCGATCCTAGCCCTAATTTCTTGTCGGAATCGGACGATCCGCTTCTCATGCCGCTAGATCCCCTGTTCCTCTCGGCTGGTGATCCGATTTCAATGGAAACCCTAGGCTCCGATCTGGGTCTCATCCTCGACGAGAATGGTGATTTTGATTTCTCCATTGATCTCCCGGAGGACTTCTTCGACTTCCCCTCCGACACGGAACCCTCGTTGATCCCCGACATCCCCGGGAATTTGTCTCCGGGCATCGGAAATTCCGAGAATTTCGATGATCAGGGACCAAACGAAGTCGAAAATAATCAAAATTGCTGTTCTCTGGAAACTAGGAGCGGTGGAAGAGAGCCAGAAGGTTGTTCTGTTTCCGATCGTCCGTTGGGTGTTTATTCACCGGCATCGTCTCATGGCTCCGGCGGTTTTGTGTCCGGTGCTTCTGGTACCCATAACGCATTATCCCCGGATTCGATCGATGTTGGGTTTGATCAGAAGGTTGAAGATGGGTTCGATGGGAGAAGTTCCGTTCCCAAGAGGAAAAAGGAGAAAGGAGACAGCGATAATTCCAGGAGCTCCAAGTATCATAAATCCGACGAGAAAACATCTACCCCAAATGAAGAAGACGAGAAGAGGAAAGCAAGACTGATGAGGAACCGCGAAAGCGCGCATCTTTCGAGAACGAGGAAGAAGCAATACGTAGAAGAGCTTGAAGGAAAGGTGAAGCGCATGCATTCCACAATAGCTGAATTGAATAATAGGATATCATACATTGTAGCTGAGAATGCGGCCTTGCGGCAGCAGGTTAGTGGTGGTGCTGCTGCTGCTGCTCATGCAGCTTCTATGTATCCTCCCATGGCGGCGGCGCCAATGCCGTATCCTTGGATGCCATATCCGCCATACCCATGTCGTCCCTATGGGTCTCAGGTTCCATTGGTTCCTATTCCGAAGTTGAAAACTCAACCCGTATTGGGTTCTAAGGCCAAGAAGCCTGAGGGTAGAAAAGATGCAGCTAAAAGCAAGACCAAGAAGGTCGCTAGTATTAGTTTTGTTGGAATCCTGTTCGTTATTTTCTTGTTTGGTGCGTTGGTTCCGTTTGTGAATGTGAACTACGGGCGAAATGGTGGAAGCTCTGGCGGGTTGTCTATTTATGGTAGAGATCGATTTTATGATGAACATATGGGGAGGGTTTTGATGGTCAATGGCCGTTTTAATGGCTCTGATATTAGCAGAGGAAGTAGAATTTCCAATGGAAACAGCCACTGCAGTAGCAGGATTCATAGTGACAGAGGTGGTTGTGGAGGAGCAGATTACCATTCTAATATGCAAGAACAAGGACAAGCAAATGCACTGGGCAATGCCAGTGAGCCTCTCTTTGCTTCTCTCTATGTCCCGAGGAACGATAAGCTTGTGAAGATCGACGGAAACTTGATAATTCACTCGGTTTTGGCTAGTGAGAAAGCCATGGCCTCCGAGAAGAATGCTTCTTCTGAGACAATAAGTAGAAGAGAAACTGATTTGGCAATTCCTCATGAGCTTTCTTCTGCCTTAGCTCTCCCAGAGATCAGAGGAAACTTGGCAGTGCTTCCCCATCTATATAGGAACACTGAAGAACATCGAAAGGCTCTTCCTTCTAGTGCGGCCGATGGAAAAAATCCTCACCAATGGTTTCACGAGGGCATTTCAGGTAATTATCATCTCCTCAAGCTTGCGAAGTTTGACTGTTTGCAACTTGTGAACTGATTCTGCTTTTGTGTCTTTTCTTTTGCAGGGGCACTGATGAACTACAGTATGTGCACAGAAGTTTTCCAGTTTGATATTGCTCCCGGAGCGATAATCCCATCGACAGCATCAGTTTCCAATGCCACTCAGTGCAATAAAAAGATGAACAGAAGATTTCTCGAGGGAATTCCTCTCCCTCTCACTGCATCCGAGCTCAACATCACAGCCAACAAAACTGGAAAAGATTCTCGTAATGAAAACATCGAGGGAAACAGAAACAAACCCTCATCCTCGATGGTTGTTTCTGTGCTGCTCGATCCAAGAGAGGTAGCTGATTCAGAAACTGACAGAGTAATGCCTCCAAAACCGTTTTCTCGGATCTTCGTGGTGGTTCTTCTGGACAGCGTGAAGTATGTAACTTACTCGTGCGTTCTTCCCCGTCCGGGTTTCCATTTCGTGGCAACCTAATGACAGAAGACGGGCGAGAACCAGATTTGCATCAAACTTACTTGAGTCTCATGTTTATGCTTTTGTCCGTTTGATGTTTTTGGTACAGACTGAACCTTGCTTGCCTAACATTATCAGTTGGGACCCTTTCCAACTTCTACTGTAATGTTCGTGTAAAAACTTATTTAGGATTAGTTTGTATCTTTTCTTTTGAGGCCTTGGTGTTTATTTGCATGTTTTGCCTTCCTCAGATCTGACTGCTTTTGAGACATTAGAATTAGGTTTACTGAAATATATCTGAATTCGTTTGGAAGGTACATCACGTGTATGATATGATGTGCTAAAATCATGGATTACATGTGGAAATTCCTTTCTTAGTTTATACAAAGACAGAGAAATCTTAGTACATAGTGACATGGATATAAGTTTTGTTGCTGTGCCAAAAAGGAAAACACAACTTGTATATACAAAAAAAAAAGGTGCAAAAAATGCAAACCCATGTTTATTCACATAACAGCCAGCCACTGCATATATATGCATCAAAGGCGCGGTGCATACCCACGTCTAGAAAAAGCTCCCATTTTGATTCTTCATCACTTCAACCATGAACTTCTCCAGTTTGCTGCCCCTCTGTATCTTCAGAACCAGTTCGAATTTGACACGGTCTTCGAAGGTCTGCGTATAATATCGTCGCCTAATCAGATTCAGAGATTTGTCGACAAAAAAAAATAGCAATGAGTGGGAAATGATTGACCTTCGCCCGGGCTAGGATTATATCCAGAAGTTTATAAGGATACAGAGAGTTGGATCTCTGCTGAATGGATTTTACAGCATGTTTTGCTGCCTCTTGGACCTGGGGATCGTTTGTCGGTACTGTTCTCCATTCAAATCCGCTTCCATCTGACTCATACGGATCACCGAAGACACCCAAAAAAAAAACGTAAACTCACAATAATCGAATCAAACAAATTCATGGCAGATAAAGGTGCATGCTTTACTTGATTTCCACCATGAATCTTATGTGTGAAACAATAGTTAGATTCCTCCAAATGAGATCAAAAGTGTCACAAGCAGAATATGACTGAACCTCAAAAGAACATGAGTGTCACACTAAGAAAAAGACATGACAACATATCATGTTTGTGACATAGTTCATTACCTCGTTTCAGGCCAAGATCGGAAGTCAACACTTCTCATAATATTCCGCTGCATTCCCATTCCAGTACCTTCCCCACCAGATCCTTTGTTCGGTCTAGGCTTGATTACAATTTTCAGAACCTCAGATTTACCATTCTCTGGCTGTTTCACGGGAATTTCAGACAAGCGGACCAGCGGGTATCTGGTTTCGGCCGTTTTTCTCACAAGAATTCTATTACCAGGGCCATCTGAACCACTGTCCGTGACCATGGTCACAAGTCCATAATGCTGAGCAACACGATGTGCCGCAAGCCGAAGGTAAGATGTCGGATAATGTTGGAACTCAAACTGCTGCTGATCAGGATCTTGCAAGAACCTCTGTACTTCAAGTTCCATGCGCAAAACTGGCAGATGACCAAAGGTCAAACGGAAGAGTTTGAGATAAGGAAAGGATTTCGACCTATCACATCACTATTTGAGCTCATATACTGGAGAATGTCTATAGATTCAGAGTGTCTATGAAAGAACTTGATCAAAAATGAAAATTTAAAACAGAAGACCAAAATTTTGACAGACATCAAACAGAAACCATCCCATATATTCACAAACACGGGTCTGAAAAGGAGTAAAGTACATTTCTCCAAGAGTACAGCAGATGTAACAAGCTCTCGTGACCCAGCTTTATTGAGCTGAGAAGAAAACGATGTTGATTTCAAGCCTGAGTAATCGAGATTAAAAGCCATGGAAGTTCATCCATGGCTTCACCCAGACTTTAGCTTCATACACTTTCTTAGAACCCGCTTCGATTGCTTCGAGAGTCAGATGGTAGAGCTTACCAGCAACCGCCTGCTCCGTTGCCTTCAACACTCCAGCAAACTCAAGAAAGGCATTCTACTCATCCAATAAACAACAAATCAGTCAGAATAAACATTGATGATGGTTCAAATACAGACAAAAACGGAAGAGTATAAAGTTCATCATTGCATGGTCTTTCTGCTATAACATCCATCCCCAAATCGATTTGTCATACCAGATTAGACGAATCCATTGGAAATTCCACTAAAAATCAGTATTTTGAGTGCAAAGCCTACAACAATCACCGATATGCGTTAAACGAATACTGCGTCTTCTTCTAGCCCATAAATTGCCCTGGAAATGAAACCCTATCATAGCTGAAAGGAAGAAATAAAGTAAGAATCGAGAAATGGTAACCCTTCATCCACCAGATCGATCCGATTCCATGAAACACAACCCAACCCAAAACCTTAATTCCATGAAACCAACACACGAACATAAAGATCAGTCCCAGAGAAATTTTCCCGGAAAATTGTTGCGGAGGAAACCTACCTCTCGCTTGTTGTGTTCTTGAACAGCGAAACGCGCGATGTCTTCGATCTCGGCACTGTTGCAACCATTTCTCGATTCGCCAACACCACCAAGCTTCGCCCTTATGAAATTGTCGCTCCCTTCTTCACTACAGATCACAGACTGACCAAATCCACAGAAGAGAACCACCGTCGCACAGATCATCGTCTTCAACACCGCCGATCGACCCATCTCCGTAGTCAAGGAAATTTTCTCCGATTCGCAAGTTTTCCGATGAAGATTTCTGCCTCCAAATTCGGTTGTGATGACCTTCTTCTTCAGGATTTATTCGCCGAATCCTAATAAGAAAAACTAACTTAATCTTTAGTTTGGTTTATATGCTTAACTTAACAGACACGAAAAAGCAACAAAAATGTTAATGGGCCACAGAAATAAAGCCCGTTACTGACTATAATGGGCCTACTTTGGCCCATTAAAAGTGAATTCTCCACAGATCACACAATTTGGATTTACAATCCATATTCATGAGAGGGTATTACTGACATTTTGGATTTCGTTTCGTTTTTTTTTTTAATCTTCCATTTTGCAAATATTCTATCCATTCGCTTTTTCGATTTCTTTTTCAGATTTTATTCGAATTCCGTTTCATTCATTTATCACCCAAATTCCATTCATTCGCTTCTTTAATATATATATTTTTTTAAAAAAAAACAAAGAAAGTCAACCCTAATTAATTTTTAGATCGAGTTTTATAATACAATTATGCTTTGTTGGGATCGTTTTTAAATATCTAAAAACGAAATACCTACAAGTAATCACAATTTTATCTCTTTCAACCAATTCTTACGGAATATAATTATGCTTTGATGTAAACGAATGACAGAGACAATTGTGCCTTGCCATTGTCATAACACAACATTTAAAACCATAGACTAAACCCAAAAACATGCAAATTTCCATACCATCTTCTATTTAGATGCCATGCCATGCCACGTAACAAAACCCATTAACTAATGTGTAAATTCAAATCCATTCAACCATTTGGGGACTAACGGGCACTCCATCCATAAACCTAATTTCATGCCCCCATCTACAACAGCTGCAACTGGTGGCCAAGAATGCCATTGGGGCTACTAAGAGAGCCTATCGGAGCCACAGGATGATGGGTTAGCTGTGGGACTAGGTCAGGAGCCGTGGCCGTGGTACCCTCATCTGCTCATAGGCTCAGGCCAAGTCACCACACCGCTCATGGGTTTGGACCTTCATCCAAAACCATGGCTAAGTCACTGCACCTAAGGCCGAGCCAAGAAGCTCGGTCACAAAATAATCATACAAGAAACAACGTGTTTAAGTAGAGGTTTCAGATATTATTGATATATGATCCCAAGTTTTTTTTCGGAGGTGGCTTTACCACCCGAGAAGCAAATTTCTCGACGGATTTATATACACGCGGAAGCCAAAGCATACATACACTCACTGGGGATTATGAACACTCTTTTGTGTTCTTCTTCCCTTTCTTTTTCTTTTTCGTGTGTTTAGTTCATCTGAATTAACCTCGAACTTTCTGGAACGAGGAAGACTTCTCTCATATATAACTTAGAAGGAAGAGATATGTAATGCAACACACGCCCCTTCATACCGTTTATCCGTTAAGAACTGCCGCCACCAACACAAGCAAGATGGTCCATTTGACGGTTGCCAAACCTGCATTTGCTGCCCAGACAAAAAAGAAGAAGAATCGAATCACCGAAACTGGGAATGAATCTAGACTCGTGTATCTGGTGAAACCGATGACAAAGCAGTGTATGTACATACACGAAGAGGGTGATGGCGGCGAGACGGGTGCAACTCCATCCGAATGCTGTGAGTGTGATTGGCTCTCGGGCGGTGGTTGAGAATGGGCAAACACGACGTGGGGTAAAGGAGCGGACATCGGGACCAAACGAGACTTTGACTCGGGATTTGGAGCTGGAGAGCGCAGATGCTGATGCGGGGGTCGGGCAGGGTAGTGCCGCGAGAGATATGGTGCAGGTGCAGGTGCAGGAGCCAAATGCGAGTGTCTAACCCGGGTGGTTCCTCTTTTCCGTCCTCTATTCCCGAACTGGCAGGGCGGAGGAGCAGAAGGAGCTTTTTCAGGACTTCTCTGAGGAGAAGGCGAGCTTGCCTCGGGAGCAAGTGATCCTCTATCGGCTGCAGGTGCTGGTGAAACCTCGGGAGAGTCATGGTGATGATGATGGTTGTGGTCATGGTGATGATGATGGTGGTGATGATGGTGGTGATGGTGGTGGTGGCCATGGGGAAGAGGCGAGGGAGCCGGAGAGTTGGCGCCACCATCACTACTGCTGTTTGGTAAGATAGAAGATAACCGAACTTGCTTGACCTTACCGAATATGGTATTGTTGAGACCGAGGTTTTTCGAGCGGGACCCCGTGATAGTGTCGGCCAGTTGCTTTGCTCTTGGCCTTGAATTCCCGACTCTCAGCACCACCAATGAATGAACATCCGTCGGGGGAGATACCGTGGAACCCTTTGAGTTCGATAAGGTTACAAACAAATTCTGCATTTAGACCACCACTATATTAATGCCCGTAACTTCTGAGAGAACGGTCCAGAAAAAACAAAGAAGAACGAAAGGTGGTAAGAAATGGCAAACCTCGTACGGTGCTAGATTCAGTCCCTTCTTTAGTTGACTGGTCAGAGCATCGAAATTTGTCTGTATCTGATATATAGAGAAGTTTAGGGTGAAATTGAAAAGAATCTGGGCTTTCTGCAAAACAAACACTTGCTGTCGTGGAATCACGGTAATTCCTCCCGGGAACTTTAGTACTTCGAAGAGGAACGGTTCCCCGAACAAAGACTTCGTTAGCCGGAGAGAGGATTGATTTATGAGCAACGATTCGAAACTTTCCCTGATAGAACTCAAAGACAGAGGATATATCTCTCGGTGTCTCTCATCATGGTCGATTCCAAACACAACCTTTGTAGTGTTCGGTTGTCCAGACGAAGGCTCAGCAGACAAGATAGTTACCTGTGTCATTCAGGCAAGTTAAAACCAGAACAAGAAGGAGGAAACCCATGTAATCAAGAACACAAGTGAAGGGAAAGATGAACTGTACCTTGATGGAATCATAGCTCATCTCCTGAAAGATATCGTCCTGAAGCAGCAACAATGTATTTTCATTCAGCAAAGAAGCCGGCTTCTTGATGCTAAAACTCGCTACTATTTCATGATCTGCACCACATATAATATGCGTGTCACGGAAGTATTAAGCTGTCTCCATCCTTTCTCTCCACCAAGTTGTAAATAACTAAATGTATTATCAAGTTTAGTCAAGAACCGGATATCGTGATTTCAATAACATAAGGCGGAAGAAGAAAAAATCGTAAATCGACAAGTTTTATAACCATAGGAAGCATGAAATTCTAGGAGTGAAGTATAAGAGATACGATAAAATTCCCCAAAGCATCCAGCTAACTGAACACGCAACTCGAGTTACTCAACAACAGTACAACACTACATAGTCAATGGCCAACCAACATCTAACATAAACATGTCTGAAGTTAGCTTTCTATAGCCAGAGATTTCCTAAAATGGCTCTCCTCAACTCTCATCACATGGGAAAACCCGAGCTGTGCATGAAGAGATACTGATTTATAAACGATTCATGACTCCATTCTCAGTGTATCGATGCAATTACTAAGAATGGCAATTTCAGAGCTTCAGATGGATAGGAACAAGAACATGGGATTCTTAGCTTTGCAAAATCCCTTAACCCAAACACATGTTAACGGTCTCTGCCTGTTTCACAGGTGATAAGAAAAGTGGCCAAATTTGAACAAGTAGCATAAGATTTCCATCCAATCTTCTTCTTCCCTATATTTCTGGAAAACCCTAACAGCCTCACTGCCAAATACTAAGAATAGTAATATCCAAAAAGACTCGAGATTCAGGACGCAGAAGCACAGAACCATAGAGACACAAATGGGTTTTCTCAGCTCCGGACATTCTTGGTCGGAGACGACATTAGCTCAACAGACCAAACAAGAGCTGATAAAGAAAGCACATCACAGTGAAAATGTCCAGTAGAAATCCGACGAATCGAGAGAAACATCTCACCTCTAAACCTGGGATCGAGATCCGGATCCGTCAGATCTCTGTCATAATGAAGCGGAGGCAACCAAAATAGAGCAGAGAGAAACAAAGCGACGGAGAAAATCAGCACGAAGAGACATCTGAACCCAACAAGCCCCAAGATCGGACCGCAGCCGCGGAGGCAGAAGCCGCGACGCGCATTTCTCTCAGACGCGCCGCCGATAGATTCTCCGCCGGCGCCAGCGATGCCGGACTGAAGATTCCGATCATCCTCTGCCTTCCCCATTGCAGAGCATTTAGGGTTTCGTCAACAGAGGTCATAGCAAGAGCTCGAGCCGAAGCAGGAACAACGAGGACAATCACAAGCCTCCTGATCGGTTGGTACAACCATTCTCAGCTTCGGAAGCAATGAACCCTACCAAAGCCAGACGAGAACAAACAAACAAAAAAAACCAAGAGAGAGAGAAAGAGAAATCCCCGAAAGTTCGACAGAGAGAAAAAGATGTGATTTTGAAATCGGGGTTGAAATTGGAATCAGGGTTTCGTCTCACTGCATTGAAGAAGACGCGAAATCGACGGAGAAAGAGAGAGTGAAGTGATTTCTTTTTTTCTTTTCTGGTGTGGGTTTCAGGCACAGAAAGGGATTGGAGTTGCAGGAGATAGTGGTGGTTTATCTCCCTTTACCATTTTCGAACATTCATTTCCTATTTATTTAATAAAAATAATAATAGTAAAATCGATTAAACAATTAAATAAATTAGAATATTTTGGACCAACTTGGGAGGGAAAATATTGCAAAGCGAGAGCGCCGACAGATGATCTGTTGTGTTGTGTGTCCGAACGGACCACCCTCTCTCTTTCTCATGGGTAATAAAACCAACCATCTCTTTGCTCTATATATATATATATATATTTTTATACATTGAGTAATCTACCATGTAATCCTTCGGATCGGACATTGGATACCGTAACACCTCACAGCTCAATGGACCGGACGAAGACGACATCAGGACAACATCGCAGACCAAGGAAAACCTCAAACCCACACACACGAATCTGCAACACACATGTGGGAAGTAAATCAACCGTACCTGACAAATGATAGATGAGAACCAAAAAGACGACAAGGAGTCGAATCCCCGACCTCATGATTTCCCAATGCTCCGTAACCAACTCACGTGGGGGGTTTCCCCATCTCTTTGCTCTACTAGTCACTATCACTCTATAAATATTTTTTTCATTTTAAACTTTATTACTAATATATAATTTTTATTATTATATGAATATTTATGAATGTATTTGGTTAATCTTAAAACAATAAAAAAAAGTATACAAAATGATTAGTTAATTAATTAATCAATCAATTATAAGTATGAAAAAAACACATATAAGAGGTGGGAGATGCAACATATTAGCTTGAAATTGGCCAATGTACGAGTAAATCAATAAGGATAGAATGTATAGTGTATACATGATTATAATTTTAAGATAGAATTATTTACATGTATATTGAATATAGAATTAAATGCTTTAGTTCTGAAGGTTGAAATTTTATAATCAAGGTATATATGCTTTAATTTATATAAAATTATTAAAAAATATATGAATATCATAAAATAATATTTTTATTCTCTGTCCTAACTAACAGTCAACAGACTCTAGACTCCACGTAAAGAGAATCGAATCCAAATTATCAAAGAAGAACATGGAGAAGCGATGACACGTACTACGTGGCCTTTCCTCTCATGCTACAAAATTACTTTCACGTCAAAAACCAATTTAGGTTAATAAGAGTAATGGTTACTATTAATTATTTAAATTAATTTATATATAGTTTTAATGAGAACTAGTATTAATTGTAGACGTGTGCTGTCAATATCAATAAAACCAAGTTAATATATTTTTTCCATTGTTATGGTATCATTAATGCCTGAGACATTAAATTAAATATCAAATATATATCCATTTTAAATTGAAACTTGGTTGGTTTTCAACGTGGAAAGGAGAAGACTTACAAAATAGAAAAACTAAAAAGGAAGATAAAAGACCAACGGTTGGAGAAATCGTTTTTTTTTTCTTCCGGATTTTAAATCTATTTTAAATACTTTGATTAACCGATAATTTTTTAATTGTAAAACTTCAAATGTTGATACCTTCCGATATAAATATTACAATGTTGGGCAGTTAGCCTATGTTAATATTTGATGGTATTTAAGAATAATTTTTTTATATTTTTTTTTACATATGTTATAAAATAATCTTGTTGCTATTATTGTTGATGGGAGAATAATTAAAACAAATATCTCTAAAAGATATATACTTTCTGTTACAATAAACATACTAAACCAAGATCATCGGATACCGGATTATGTTACATGCATGTGTAATTTTACATATATATATATATGTGTGTATTATATATATATATATGTAATAAGATATCTGCCTCCCATCATCTAATCAAGAATTTATCTTTAATTAGAGGTTTGAAATATGAATATATTTAGTTAAATATACTTGATTCATTCGTGAACATGTGTGCGATCACATCATGTCAATAATAAGAGCATGCATCATAACCTTCCATTTTCGAAAAACAAAAAACAAAAAGAAGCACACAAAATGTGTCTTTCTTTTAAATTTCGAATAAGAAAATTGCCAAGCAACGTCTAGACCATATACCTAACATTCACCTAGACAATATCTTAAACATTTTTTTTTTGCTAGATTATATTTCAAAACTTATTGTTAATTATCTGATTATCTCAGTTCTCATATATCATATCAAACGTAAAATTTAATCTATAATTACCTAAAATCACCATAAATTCTATTCTGAGTTTTAATTCTTTCACCAATTAGATGAAAATATAGCACAATGCTTGGAACTTGGAAGCCACCTATTACGGCTTTTAAAACAATATATATATATATATATATATATATATATATATATATATATATATGTGTGTATTTTTTTATTGGGCCAAGTGGGCATTTGATGTCTTTGAGCCTTTTCGCCAATGGCGGTTTCTTCTCAGTGAGCATAGCGACGGTGAATTCCACTAGAGCTCTGTCCCATCCCTTTGCTCTCAGAGGCTGTTTCACATTTCCATCAACGCAACATCTGATTCAGCGCCAAAGTTTCAAAAACTGAACACAGAGTTTGAGTTTCTGTCCTGATCAATCAGTACACATTGATTCACCTTTGTGTATCCCTCTATGATATGCTCTGTCACTTGTTTCGCATCATACCATGCATTTCTCACGGCTGTTACCCCGAACTTTTCAATCGCCATCCTCACCTGATGATACAGAAAACCCAGTTCATCAGATTCAGCAATGTCGGGAACCGACGTTTCCTGTCTGAAAACCGCTGAAATGGAGTACCAGCATTACTCCAATGGCGGATCGGTTGGGCCAAGAAGAAGTTCAAGCCCATCACGTTACCTCCTATGCGCGTTTGCGTTTTCATATCGCACCATCTGTCCAATCGCTGGCCGTTGGATTTATATGCTCGCCAAAAAAAAGTTAATTGAAACTAAAATCTAGGAAAATCAAATCAAAATCTAAAAAATAAAATTTTATATACTTGATATTCTTATGATATAAATAATATTAATACGAAAAATATGCATTTTATATTTATTCTGGAAAACAAAATCTGAAATCAATATTTTCAACTAATCTTGATTTACGTGATTAATTGTCACATCGAACGATGTATTGTGAAGCTATTAGGAAAGATCGTTAGTGATTTCAGGTATATGTGTTAATTTGGGCGGACGACTGAGGGATAATTATGGGGAAATTAATTAAATAATTGGAAATTAATAAATTAATTAGTTATAGCGTTTAAAAAACACTGAGGAGCTTTCACCCACCACGTGTTTCTTTGTTTGCGTCAATTTTTTTTTTTTTTTGGTTTCACGGCGTCCGACCAAAACAAAAGTCAAACCGCGAAACGAGTGAGTATTTAAAGGCTGTCAAGTCAACGGCGACCACACGGCGTCAATTATGACGAGGATATGAGTACAAGATGAAGTTTTAAGATAAGGTTGAACGAAAAATAAAATGAAATAAAAAAAAACACCCAATTTTTTCCTGAATTTGTGTGTGTGTGTTTTTATATTTTAGAACAATCAGATCTAATTATAATCAAATTAGGCGTAATCTTTTTAAAATTAAGATAAACCAATTTCATACGAAAAACAATTTTAATATCAAAGTAACCCAAAACACTAAAAAGCGAATTTTTGGAAAATATATGTTTTCATAATAATGAACGATCAAAGTTTTTGTTAGAACTAAAAATATCATCATTTTTTTTTTAAAAGGCACTCCGGTTATATTCCCATGGAGAAAGGAAATTAATTGAGGAAAAAAAGGAAATAGTAAGATTTATAGCAGGAAATCATGTTTGGATATTTATTCATTGTATTAGATTTGTGGCTGTTGATCAACGTATCTATTCTTTCAATTAATACGATGATTCTTATAGAAAGCAAGCTAAACTTAACAAAAACTACATAATTTACCCCAAAAATTTCAAAAGTTATAGATATGTACTATATCATATGATATAAATAGAATATTATATATATTCATAAAGGGCATAAAAGGACTTTCCAAAGGTCACCAGACAAGATCACTAATATTGTGGCATGGCTAAAAAAATTCAAAGATATAAGGCTACTTGTTTGACCAAAACAAAAAAAAGAATTAAGGAAATTGTACATTTCAAAATATAGAGGGTTGAAATTTTAAAATCAGAAACTTCCAGGCTAAAAATGCAAATACCGGAAACAATTTTCCAAATTTCCTTGTGTGTTTAGGTAACAATGGAAGTGTCCGTGACCACCACCGTCACCACAAAAAAAAAATAAGAAAGCCTCGCTGGGGCCCACAAAATTCGTGTGGAACAGCCCATTTAGCTGATGACGTGTCTGATAATTAAGAGTCTGTCACGAATCCCGATGTGACGATCATGTCAATTTAGCACTTGTACGCGACTCGCCGCAGTTACTGCGTCGCCACGGTGGTGTTGTTCATGAATGGTTGACACCGCTGCTAAACGACAGCGTATTGTCATGTTATTATTTTTTAGTGGTGTTTTTTTTTTAAATTATGCCTACCGCTGTTGATTCTTTTCATCGTCGTCATTACTTTCAAAGGTTGGAAAACATTTGAATGATACCATTTAATTATTTTGACTTTTTACAGAAAAAGAATTAAATTTTAAAATCTCTCACTCCTTAAATTCATAAATGATAAATAATTAGCGGAGACCGAATTAAGAGAATTGACAATTAGTTATGGAATTTAATTTATTTACTGTCAGTGGCACGGGGATGGATATTTATTATGAGCAATAATAAACACGATGTACTAGATCGTAGCAATATATGTTATAGATCTACTTACATAAAAGTATTTAACCACTTAAAATTCTTATAAAAAAACTATTTGAAACTTTATAGATTTAAAAAAAAAATATTAAGCCTTGTTCTTTTTCATATACTCGGGAATTTTGAAATTTCTATCTTTTTTTATAATAAAATTTCATCGAAGTGATGCAAACAAAATTTATTGATGAGCGATGATTATCACCCTAATTAAAGTATATCCGCTTTTTTTTATATATTTTATACTTTTAATTAAAGATGTGATGTGATGTGATGTCATTTAATTTCATATACGGTAAGTAATATCTCCAAATATCTTTAGTCACATAAACTCAAAACAATAACCAATATATACATAATATATATATATATATATATATATATATATACACACACACATGTGGAACTTGTATTATTCTAAATTCATTTACACATCGTAACATTTATCATTTCGGCTCAATAATATATTTTGACGATTAAAATAACTTATTTTTTTTAAAATGAAAATACAGAAAATGAAAATACCATTTCGAATCAATAACATTATATACAGTATACATTATAAACAAATAAACGATATATCTGTTCTTATAATATGTCCAAATACAAAGTGATTAAGAACTAATACGATTTTTTTAATTCTTCATAATCACATACCCTTAATTTAATCTGAAGACTTCTATCCAAAAATACGTCGTCGTCGTGTCGTTTTCTTTGTTACCATAAAAGCATGTGTAAAATTTATGAAAAATGAAATAAACATGACTGTTTAGTTATTAGTACTATTTTGTTACTCTTTTTTTTTTATTTCGTAGTGAATATTGGACCGACCAGGTCAAACGAAAGCCGTGAAGAATATCCAACTTAAAAAAAATCCATCTTTTTACCAAATAGATACGGAGAAAGAAGTAGAGAGAGAGAGAGAGGAAAAAAAAGCAATTTTTATTTCCTCTTTTCTCAGGAGAGAGAAACCCTGAGTATTGGATTTCTTGTTGAATTGAATTTACCTGGTTTAGCGACGTCGCACCTGGGTTTGGATGGCAGTTTGGCTTTGGGGGTTTCTCTTCGCCTCCTCTAATTGATCCAAGTTTTCGTTTTTCTCTCGGGAAAATTCTGTTCGGCTTTCCGGGAAAGTTTTGTCAGATTCTGAGAGGGAGGGAGAGAGAGAAAAAGAAATTAAAAGGGCAAAAAAGAAAATCCGCAGAACCACCAACGGATTCTTGTGATCACCCGTATCGATTCCTTTGATCACAAATCTCGTCCATAATCCGTTTGATCGTCGATAAGGGAATAACAGAAATTTTCTCTAAATACAAATCCCAAACCTATATTTTTCTGTTGGATTTTTGGCAAGGCATTGAAATTCACGGGGAGTGGATTTTGTGGTTTTTTTGGTTCTTCTCTAATTTAATTTTCGTCTTCTCCTTCTTCGCCTCTCATCCGATTGACTCAAAATTCTGGGAACTCGGTTTGTTTTTTCTCGGGGAAAATCTCCGGGAAAGTGAGAAAAATCGGGTTTCCGAGTCTGGAGTTTTGCTGTCGTGCGGGAATTTTCAGCTGGGGATTCCATTAATCTTTCTCGAATAGCTTCAGTTTCCGGGGAAAATCCAGTGGAATCCGATTTCTAGATCCGAAATTCGGATTCGAAATCGATTTATCCCTTATCATCGATGACGAAGATGAAACAATCGGGCTCATTGGATAGCTGGAGAGACTACTTCCGACAAGCAGATTCTGATATATTCGAGATAATCGATCATGCGATCATGGTCGCAGCCGCAGATTGTCCGAAAGATTTCAAGTCCCGGAGAGACAGAATCGCTGAGCTACTCTTCTCTTGCAGAGTGAGCAGATGCACCGGATGCGACCATCTCGAGCTGTCGGTTCCTGGACACGACGAAGCCAACCGTGGCGGCAGAATCGCTGTAACCAGCGGCGGAGGCGGCGACAGGGAGGATTACCGCCGCGGAGCAGTCGCCGTCGATGGTGATGAAGATTATGATGGGTTTGGAGCCGGTGGTAGCAAAGAGAGCGAGGCTAATAGTAGCAGAGGTGATAATCATATCGATGAGAGGACGAATTTGAACAACAATCAGATTGTAAGCAATTACAGCTATGGCGAAGCTGAGGCATTGACTGACGAGATTGAAGAGACTACTGTGATTGTTGGGGAGGTCACAAGGATCAAAGATATCTTGCTCAGCAGTGAAGATCAGGTTGTTTGTTTGCTCTGATTACATCAAAATTTCTGCTGTTTGATCGTTTGTTATGGAGTTTGGATGATTTGGATTCTTGTTCTTCGTGACCGTAGCAACCTTCTGATTGTCGGGTTTCGATTTCTGTCCTCATTTTGCAGTCAAAATCTTCGCTGTTCGAGTCGCTGCAGAAGCTCCAGTTGATGTCTCTGAGTGTGGATGTTCTGAAGGTTTGTTTCCGGTGCTTGTGTTCATAACGTTTGATTTGGTAGAAGTTGTTGATGCTCATTCTGATTGAGCTTTAGGGCTAATGAATTCTCATGGAACTGATCAAGGGTTTGTGTTTTCACAGGCTACCGAAATCGGGAAGGCTGTTAATGGCCTGAGGAAACATGGGTCTGATAAGATTCGCCAACTCGCTAAGACTCTCATTGCGTATGAGCTCCATCTTTCTCTATATGCATTCGTCCTGTACTTTCTTTAGCATTTGAATTCATTTGCCTGTGTCCAATATGGCGAGATCAGAAGAGTGTCATCCCCTTGTTTTGATAAGTTTTCATGATATTTCCTACTCCAGATAACGGTAAGCGAAAATCATTGAAATTTTGTGGGGTCAAATCGGAAAAAGATGGTAATATAGTAATGTAGGAATGTGGCCTTCCCTCGCATATCGTGATCAGTGCTCGCCCCAAAGTTTTACTCGTCTAGCAACCATCTCACATACTATAGATTGCATATCTCTTCTTCTCCGATTGTTTTTTTGTGTATCTAAACTAACGCTGTTTTTGTTAGCTGATTCATAGTTCATGAAGCTCTTAGGACACATCTTGATTGTGTGTTTTCCTGGTTGTTGAGTTTTTAACATTCTATGATGTTTCTTTGGCTATTCAGAGAGTGGAAGGAGCTGGTGGACCAGTGGGTGAACACCACAAAAGAAATAGCTGGTAAAATCCTCTTTCCTTCGGTTCCCTCACCGCAGTTGGATAACTTTTCATGGCTTAATCTCTTTTTAAGAATCTTCTTCTTAAACTCGATTGGTTTTTGGTTCGAATTTCTGCTTCTGCAGGTGCTGGATGCACTCCAGAGTCTGCAAACCCTTCTGTAATCGATGAAGAAGAAGGGCTTCCCTCTCCCCCAATGGATGAAGGAGCTCTCTTTGCCACCGGACCAATTGGATTAGAACTCGGACAGGTCCTTAAGATTTAGATATTCAGACTGTTTATTTTTCTGTGTTGCTGCTGATATGCTCGCTTCTTGGAACAAAAGACTGACAAAATCTTCTCTCTTTTTTTCTCGTGGGTTTCGTATTGATTTTGTCATATGAAGTTCTTTGATGGCATGGAGGACTTCGATAGAAGTGAGTTGAATGCACTCTCCATCCTTTGATAGCATGTTTAGCTTTCCGGTTCTTTATATGAAGAAATTCCATCTGTTTCAACACTCATAATAAGAGGATGTTGTTTCAGATCCTCGAAACTCTGGGGAATACAATAAGAACAACCGAGAAAACAACGGAAGAAAACCACAAAATATCGTAACGAGGAGGCCTGAGGTGGCAAATGAAGCAAAGACAGTTGCTGAGGACAAGAAGAGTCGACCAATGCAGAGACAGGAAGCTCCTGTTAGAACCGTTAAACCCTCAGTTACTGATCACAACGGACAGAGAAGAGCCCTGAAGCAAAGTACAGAACAAAGGACAAGTAATGGAATGTTACCTATCCAAAAATCTGAAAGACCCATGATCCAAAGGAGACCACTTGTTGCAGAACAGAAGCGGAATGTTCCAGGAGTTCAACAAGAGGTGAGTGCGGAAACAAGCCTTTTGCGTTATGTTTAGTTTTCTTTTTAACACGTGAGTAATTGTTTTGTTCTTGTCTTCCTTAGAAACTCAAAGGTCTGGATAATGATGCCAAGCTTGAGGTCACAAAGAGGAAACTCCAAGAGAGCTATCAGCAACATGAGAAGGGTTCGTTTTTCCTTTTCTTTTCTTTTCGCCTAAGAATCCATTTCCATCTCAAAGTTCCAAACTTTTTTCAAATACGTTCTTGAGAAAACTGATATCAAAACAACGTTTGTAATGCAACAGCAAAGAGGCAGAGGACAGTACAAATGCTGGAGACAATCCCTAAACAAGGTAATGCCCAAAAGCCGCAAATCAGGAGACCAGGGATGAACAACCGGCCTTGGGCAAACGGGCGAAGATAATCAGTTATCCGGATCGAATTTTCGGACAATAAACAATTTTCATCGAGACCTCTCCTCGGGTTCTTCTCATCATCATCATCATCCCCCGAAGAATCATTGAAAACAGCACACAGAGAATAACCCTTCTTCAATAAATGTTACGGCCAACACTGACATTGGAAAATAAGGTAAGGATTCAACTCCCAGATGACAGAAACAAGCAGAGCAACTACAACAGATCAACACTTCAGTTTCGAAATACTCTGTTTTCCTGTCTGGAGTCGCCGTTGCTGATATAGGCAATTTCTGTAGTTTTTTTTTTCACTTTTCTTAATTTTGTCCTTTTTTAGACTTCCGGCACATGGTCCCTGCCCGGTCTGTTCCGGTCCGGACCGGTTTGAGATTCGGGGACCAGAGAGAGAGAGGCCATTTGCAAAGAAGACTATAATTTGGGGTTGACCTTCTCTTCACCTAACTTGACGAGCAAGCAAACCCCGTGATGGTTTCAGAGGAAGATTCGCCAATGAAATTTTAATAAATCAATTAATAAAATCGTAGAGTGATATTTTATAGATATATGTAAAGTCTGACCGTGTCCATTTGTATATATTTTTTTTTATTTAAAAAATTCAATCGAATTCATTGTTATGAAGAAATAAATAAATAAATAAAAAGCCGTTTTCTTTTTGGGTTGGAGACACAAAGGAAGTGGGTGGATAGATAAGAGCGAAGACGAGAAGGTGGGAGAGGTAGCGTGTGTGTGTGGATAGGAATTAATATTATGCATTGTGACGCGTTATCGCGTTTTGACCACAAATGCCACGTGCTTCCACAATTACTTAGCCTCGATTTCAGTTTTTAATTGCATATAAACCTTATTATAAGAGTTTCGTTATTTGATATGCAATCGAAAACTCTATCCAATATTGGAATACGTCTCTTTTTGGTCGTTATCTTTATATGTGTATTTATTTATTATGACATGTACGCAGAAAGACTCCTAAGTATTTCAGATTATTTTTTTTAAAAAATGATTTATGTTGGGTTGGTCCCATGCTAATTATTTTATCACACCAATTTTTCCCTTTTAGTTAAGACTCATTACAACACAAATTTAGATAATTCAACCAATAAAATGAGATGTAAAATGTCCGTCACGTTTCGAATTCGAATTTCAAATTTAGAGAAAAAACGTATAATCCAAATCATTTGACTATTTCTCGATCCTTTAATTATTCTGAATCATGATACAAAATATTCGGTTACCAAAAAAATATTTTCTCATTGCAAAATAATTGTTATTTACTCAAGGTAATAAGATATTTACTTACTTTCATAATGTTCTTACAATATCACCCTAATTATATTCTTTCATATTTAAAAGATTTTGTCAGAAGGGGCGAATAGATAACTTAAGGAAAAAGCTTGATTGAGCTATATACTCTGAATTTTATTTGGATTTCGTTTTATTTTTATAAAAAAAGCATTTGTTTTGAAAAAGTCTGTTTTTCAATTATTCGTTTTATTAACTTAGCTTTAAAAAATATATCCAATATATTTTAAAACAATATTTGTTTTATATATTATTTAATTTCGGTTAGATTTGGTATATCCAAACCAAATAAAATAATAATCCTTAAATTGAATGATTAATTGATTTAGTAAACAAATATCTCTTTCAGAGATTATAAATATTAAAAGATTGATTTTCATAATATCTTCGAAAGATTATTGTTTTTACTTTTTAGCACTGATATAAAAAAAAGTTTATTTATACTATTGGTGATCTCAACTAAAATAAGTTTAGGCGTGACAAATATCATACTACATGATATAAGTTTTCACATTTCATTTTTAACCAAAGAGTTATCATCTCACAATGTCAAAGTTAATGAGCAATTTAAATGATAATCGAGACGTTATTACTTATTAGGTGACCATTATATACAAAACCAACCAAATCAAATCAGTACCATCCATTTATATCTCATCTAAAAATTATTTGAGTATAGTTTTTTCAAATTAAATTAATCTAACCCAATTTGAAGTTAAATTGAATGAAAAAATAACTAAAAACTGAAAGTCTTTTTAGATAATTAAATATTTTATTTACCAAAACATAATTCGGTGAAAGTTAATATAGAATTTTAAAAAGACATGATAGGTAAGTATGCCAAAAAAAAGGTTAATGGGGTTTGGTAATTATTGATATATTTGCAACTACTTGTGAATTTGGGGGATCAGATTCACCATTCATGTGGACTGCCGGGGACATATATATATATATATATATATATATATATATATATATTCCAATAGAGAAGATTTTATTTAAATAGTCTAAATTCAAGTAATATGATTCTGGTGGCTTGCTCTTCTTTATTTCCTTTTTTTTTATGTGGAGAAGATATTGAATTTATTTGAGATATATATGAATTTCAAATACGATATTATTTCCATTTTTGTTTACGTATTTTAACCTTTTTTTTTATTATATAAGATAGAAAGATCTTTTGAAATAATAACCTTGCTTTGGTTGAAGATTGAAGAGGCTCCATATAAGGAATTTCCACTGAATTTTGGTTTGATTCCGATCCGCTCATCATGACAACATATATGTATATATATACATATATATATATTATAGCATGTAATTGTAACTATAATGATTTCAAACAATTATAAATCTAGAAAAAAAAAAATTACCCGGGTCAATATATCTCCATATGATAATAGTACAATTTTGATACGGGACTAAAATTATTGTTCAATGCATGCATGCATGCATGTATGTATGTATTTATGCATGCATGTTGATGATGCTTCATCATCATCACGAAACAGCGCCATGGTTGGAGTGGAGATGGAGTTGAGAAATTTCTCCAAAAGCGGAGAGCAGAAACTTGGAGACAAGAGAGATGAACTGTTGAGGTCTCTCTTCGTGAGGAAGATGACCACATTCCTTTATCACTTCCACAACCACGTTTCCATGGATGGCCCTTGCCAGTCGCTTCGCATTCCAAGCTGGTACGATTCGGTCTGTATCCCCCGTTACTATCAGAACTACCAATTGACACACAACAAAAACCCATCAGTTAGGTTTCATTGTCTGTTCTCAGACATGCCGGCAAGGTGGCGAGGGTGTGAAACCTGGGCATTTGATGTCTTTGAGCCTTTTCGCCAATGGCGGTTTCTTCTCAGTGAGCATAGCGACGGTGAATTCCACTAGAGCTCTGTCCCATCCCTTTGCTCTCAGAGGCTGTTTCACATTTCCATCAACGCAACATCTGATTCAGCGCCAAAGTTTCAAAAACTGAACACAGAGTTTGAGTTTCTGTCCTGATCAATCAGTACACATTGATTCACCTTTGTGTATCCCTCTATGATATGCTCTGTCACTTGTTTCGCATCATACCATGCATTTCTCACGGCTGTTACCCCGAACTTTTCAATCGCCATCCTCACCTGATGATACAGAAAACCCAGTTCATCAGATTCAGCAATGTCGGGAACCGACGTTTCCTGTCTGAAAACCGCTGAAATGGAGTACCAGCATTACTCCAATGGCGGATCGGAGGAAAGCTGTTAGAGCTTTCTTGTAGAGAGAGCCGACCATGCTCGTCATTCCTCTTATGATCGCAGTGATTGCTTGTATAATGTGTTTGCCGAACCGAATCAGGGTCCTCAAGAACTTGGCAAACGGTGATTCTGCTTCGGTAGAATCCGTGGCCTCCTCCTCTTTCCGTTCGTCGTCCCTTTCGCTACCCGTTTTTGCAGAAGAAGGTGCGAATATTGCGGGAGCCACGAGAATTAAGGCGGCAACACGCTCGGGGGCTTGAAAGTAAGTTTCCACAGCTACAAGAGAACCGGCAGAATGCCTGCAATGTTGTCAATATTATATGTGTCTATATGGCATTTCAAGATTTATGCAAAGGGGTGAACCCGAGGTACTTACCCTACAAGAATCGCCTTCTCAGCCGCCAGAAAATCCACGAAATGCAATGTAGCGAGAACCGAAAACGCAATTGAGTAAGGATTCAAGGGTTTTGAATCCCTGGCACCAATCCGGGATGTCAAACCAAAGGCGGGTCTGTCAAAGGCAAGAACTTTAGAGCCGATTTCCCGAGCCAACGGTTTCATAACTCTACTCCAGGAGAAAACCGAGGCTCCAAAGCCATGCAACAGAACCATAGGGAATCCAATTCTCGGACTCTCTTGCGAGAATCCAGAATTCTCGATGACGGGAGGAGTGTCTTTGGCTCGGGTTTGTGGATCATATGACTTGTAGTGTATATGAACACCCTGTAACTCACAGAAACAGCTGTCCGGATCAGCTAAGTTAACTGGATCAAGCAACTCATCCTGCTCTGTCCCAGCAACCATCTTCTGGTTCTTCCTCGTTCCAGCATCATCCAAATATTGATCTGACATTTCAGGAAGATTGTTGCTAGATTTTTTACTACAGATGAACTCAATCCAAGAAACTAATGCATAAACTGGAAACAGAGTAGAATTAGAATCATCAAGTTTTGAGCTCAAGAGACATAATTTCAGCTCTAATCCCATCGATTTGCCAAAAAAATGTATGGTAAATTATGTGGAGAGCGCGTGACTTTCACCTGAGATATGAAGAGTTTCATCGTGTCATAGCAGGAACCGATAAGTTTTTGAGAACGGCTCCAATGCAATTGAATTCGAAAAGGTTCAAATTTTTTATCAGAATTCATTAAAATTTTTAAAGAAATGTAGAAATCTGCGACCCCAATTTCTCGGGAATTTTTTTTTTTTTAAGAAAATGCAAAGCCAAGTGGAAAGCAAGCAGTAGAAAAAGGAAGAACCTGGAGAACCGGAGAAAGAGGGAGACGGAGAATCAGCGGCGGCGCTGCAGACAAGCAACCGACTCGCCGGACGGAGAAATGGTTCGCCGGAGATTTTCCGGCGAAGCATCTGAATCTGAGTACGAATCTTGGGCTGATAATTTCCGATCTTGTTAAATGGAAAAGAAGCGAGATTTCTTAGGATCTGCTGCTTAGGTTGCGGCAAGAAGAAGAGGCCTGCGTCCATCGTTGCCTAGATGTTTGGACACAAGTTCATCGTTTACCTAATTTTCCCGACAGAGGTTTTGTTTGAGTTTGGATTTGAAGATGAGGTCTGTGTTCATCGTCTACCCTGCTTTCAGACTGAAGTACGTTATGAGAGTTTTGTTTTCTCCGCTTCTACTTATTGTTAATTTATATTCATTGGCTGTTCAAACATAATGATGATAAGGGGGAAATATTATTTAATTGAATTTTAAATCAGATTTGCTTCAAAACGATTTCATGATATTTGATTGGAGCTTTAAACGGGAATATTAACCTGTGAATATACATAGTTACATGTACATATTTAAAATTTTATAGTTTATTTTTTACGAGGCATAAAATTTAGATCGGAGTCTCTGACGAGATCTTTTAAAAAAATAAAAAAAATAAGAACTTTATACTTTAAGAGGGGGTTTTATATTTATTTAAGCAAGTTTTTTTTTTGGTAATGGTGATTTGTATTAATAAAAAGAAGTAAAGAGGGTAATTTGAATGAGCTCATATATATATATATATAAACCTCTATTAGTGTATATATCTATAAAATATCTGTATAAATATCTATACTAAATAAAATTCGTAGATATTAAAGATATTTATCTTTAATGACCACCAAAACCTATGCTCTTCTTCCCGGGTTCTTGGAAACGAGGTAACAAGAAGAAATGTCTCACTGGACTTAGTTTCGGTCACGAAGAGAAGCGTTTGTGTTCAAGCTCCAGCATCTTCCCTCCTCCGACAGGATCGAACCTACACCTCAAGAAACTTGTGGATGTTTCGAGGGTTTAAAAGAAAGAAGATAAAGACTGTGTCAGAGATTGTAAAAAAAAACATGGAAATTGATGAGATAAGCTATGATCTAAGGTGGTTCATTCACCTTCCATTCATGCCAACAAGAAGAAGGGTGTTTTCTGATCCGAAGCCTGCAATGAACTTTGTGGATTCCGGCAAGGAGAACTGAGCAAATGACCGTTCTGAGTGGAAGTACTTCGGCAGGACCCCTGGAATATGTTTGCAAACACAAGAGGTTTATAGAGGATGAGCAGATTCTGTATAGCAGTAGTAGCTTCATGTCAGATAAAGCATATATATAGACAAGTTCTTTTATTATGCTTACCCCTCATGAATGACAACGATGAACCGGGGTTGGTACTGGGATATGTGGTATCGGAGGAATTTCGATTCTGCACTGCTGTAGGGGATAGACTCTGAATGGATAGGTTCAGATGAAAGACATGTACAGTCCCTCTGTCGCTTGATGCGGCCGCCCATTTCAGATTTTGAGAGATCGCGATGCTATAAACCGCTGCTTTCTCTGCTCCTCTTCGCAACTGGTCAGAAGAAACAATGCAAGTCTAAGACACAGCTCCCTCTAATGTACGACAACACGTTAACAGGTTCTGAATTTTAGGTCCTCTTTGAATTGGTGAAAGTGTGAATGATAATACTGCATGAATTCACGCATAGTGACTAGTGAGCTGATACGGTAACATGCTTCATCTATGGAAACCAGTAAAATGCCAGAACCTGCGGTCTAGAAGAACAAGTGCAAGTTCAAAGGCTATAGGGTTACCTCTTGTAAGCGAGTTCCGTCCATTGCGTTGAAAATTCTGATCAAAGTTCCTTTGGTACTAGCAGTAGCCAGAAGAGTTCCATCAAGGGTCAGGGTCATGCAGGCCACAGCAGAATCGTGGGCATCAATAATTTTAGTAGTTTTCCGTCCCAAGTCATGGACCTGAACCTGTCCTCGATCGAGCCCTGGACAAGCCAGGATGTTCGCTGTCACATGGTGAGAAATGCAACACAATCCTTTCGGATTCATGATAGTTTCGATTTGACGTTGGACCTTCAGGTCATTGAAACTGTACACATAGATCTTGTGTTGCAGGACAACCACAATGCAATCCCTCTGCAGTTTCACGGATACAACCTCAGATCTAAAAGCAAGTTCGCAATGGCATCGATCCTGGTGATCATCCCAAATCCAGACCTTGTTCGAAGGGTACAGAGTATCGTTAGATCCGTCACCCACAAGCGCAAAGAGGTGGGATTGGAAGAGCATCTCGACGATTTTAAACCCGCAGCCCTTCAGATCATGTCTGCGACTCTCCTTAAAGGGCTTAGACGTATATACGCAAAAACCACGATTGGTCCCAGCGGTAAAACAGCTGCAGTCCTGGTTCCAAGTCACTGACAGTACCTTCAGTTCACCTGTTTCATCACTGCCGCAATTCCTGAGTGAGCCCGAAGTTTCGGCTTTGGAAAGCGAAAGCATTCCACGGGGTGTAGAGACCGTGTTATCCATTCTTCTTCCACTACAACTATATCCAAGAGATGTCCACTGCAATCAAGACCCGCAACATCAGAATCACAGAAAAAAGCACGGTAAAGCAAGGTACTGTATCGGCACTGTAACCTAAAAAGCCAAAAGATCAAATCTAAATCCCAAAATAAGCTCCTCTAACACCTTTACAATCTCCGGTGAGACCATACAGAGGAGAAAAAAACCTAAAGTTGCTTGATTCACAAGAAAATCAGCGGAGATGATGATCAGCAGATGCAAAACAGCTAATTCCATATCGATCACCGAAAATCTCATAGAACCCAGAACATCATAAACTACAACAAGACACCAACAAGTAAAAAAAATCCGACGAAGACAAGAGTGGATAACACCGAAGGTATGACTCACCGATCGATGAGTGCCGGCCAGAGAAGCACGATTCCGGCGAGAAAAACTTCGCTCTTTAAGTAAATTTTCGCCGGAGGATTATTCGCAGAATTTTTCGTTCGTCTTGTCTCAGAATCTAGCAAGTAAAAAAAAATTCTGCATCGAGTTTGCGTATTTATAATTTTTTGAAATTTCCGTGTGTCCGGCTACTCCGTCTTCGTCAAGGAATAGGGTGACTGACGTCATCTAAACCCTTCCTAACTCCAGAACGACGACGTTTTCTACTATTTTCCCTTTTTTTAGGGGTTGGTACTCTTATATTCTTAAATTTTCGGAATGTGCCCAATAATAATTTGAGTTACATATTAGGCCCTACTGTTACATATGACACGTGGTGCATGAATAGGTATGTACCAAGAGAAATTGGAGAAACTCATAGTGTTTGGTATCGGATTTACTCCAATCCTATTCCTGAATAAACGAAGCGGCTTACCAAACGGTGTCGTGTTCGATTCCCTGAAGCGACATCGTTTAAACGGTTTAAAAGGTAAAAGGTTTGAGGGTTGCCGTCGTGTGCTGTGGAAGAGTTGATTGATTGGATTGGCGAAGGCCGAAGGGAGAAGAAGAAAGAATGGGGAAGCAGCCAGTGAGGATGAAGGCAGTGGTGTATGCACTGTCGCCGTTTCAGCAGAAGGTGATGACCGGTCTCTGGAAGGATCTGCCTGAGAAGATCCACCACAAGTTCTCCGAGAACTGGATCAGCGCTACTCTTCTCCTCACCCCTGTCCTCGGCACCTACTGGTACTCCCCCTCTCTCGGTTGATCCGTTCTTATTCTTCAAATCTCCGATCTGGTTATTTCATTTGTTCCTTGATCTGGCTGTACGAGATTGTTGTTCCTGGAATATGCTCGTATTCTGATTTCGATCGATAATAATCTACGTTTTTTTTGTTAGGGTTGTGATCTGATCGGTGATAGTTTTGCTTTGTGATGTTTTTCTGTGTTCCTAGTTCTTCTCTTGGGGCCATGGTCACCATAATCTCTATGTGCATTGAAGATGCCTGTGACATTGAACTAACAGTGTAGGAATTGAAGATGTGAGATAGTGGTTGTAGTGATTTGTTTATTGACAAGGCCCTGCTTTTGTTTTGTTGAATCTACATCGCGATTGGCGAATATAGTCGTAGCTCGATACATTTTCTGGAATCAAATGATCTGTAGGTGGTTACACACGCTATTTTCCATTTTGTTCAATGAGGGTGATGCGATTAAACTGCTTCACCTTCACTGAGCCAAACTTTCTCATTGATGTGACTCAAGGTCTTGTCTTGCTCAGAAACCCATCAACTTTTACTCGTTGTGAGCTTTGAAAGCATCAATTTTTTTCTTCTTTTTCTTGGTTGTAAGCATTTTACAGGCTGTGTATTTTAGCTGCCCTATAGACAATAACATTTGGTCTACGTTTTTCTGTTGTTAATGTATATTCTGAAAACCGAATGCGCAGGTATGCTCAACACTACAGGGAGAAGGAGAAATTGGAGCACAGGTTCTGAAGCATGAACGTGCACCTAGTCATTCTACAAGGAGCTGATTGTGTTTCATACCCGCAACTCTGCTTAGAGCATTTCCTATATGACTCGAATGGATGTTCTGAGTCAGTTCTTGAGAACTTTGTTCCTGCATTTTGTTAAATAAATGTTTTGGTGATTGGTTTCATAAATAACAGTGGATAATCGACCTTTGTTCCCTATGCCTTTGTTGAAGATCTACTTTTTTTTTCCCTTCTTGACCTGATACAATGCTTGTTCCATTGTTCATATGTATATGTATGAACCAACCCTCAGAGTTGGAACCGTTTGAGTGAATCCTAAAAGCATCTTCAAGCCCATATTCATTTGATTGCTGAAGAAAGCTTTACACTATTCTGTTTATTGTTTCACATGCCTGTTTCCGCATTTGGCTATCACAGGTAAGAGGTAACCACCAGAATGTGTTTTGTGCTGTCTTTGGACCGACCGATCCTTGATTCTCAGAGAGTGTATAGGTGAAGCTGAAGTGATCTGGAAACATTTGTATTTCATAGTTAGATGTTACAGTGCGTATTTGGTGCATATACTTGTTGAGATTTGCCTTTCCACAGATTGAGGCAGACAGATTTGGCACTGATTGTTGCAACCAAATTATTGGTCTGAGCTGATAGGGAAACTCAATCATGATTCTTGGGCACAGGTGAAATGATTTAAAGTCCTACTCTTTTGTCTCTCGAGATTATTTAGCTTCCTAATTAATCTTCATGCATTATTTTTTTAATTATAGACCAAACCGACTATCAAATCCTAGGTGAAAAACATCAAAGCACGTAATGTCATCACACAATTGCACATGTACTTGAGTAAGTTTCTCTGTAGTTCTTCTCTTTATGTACCTAATTCTTCCAGATGCAATTGCAACTTTTTTTCAGCTTCGTAGAACAGGTTGTTGGTTTGGTGATGCTCAGTCAGCTTTCTCTTTCAATTTTACATGGAGAATTATGGTTCTCTCTCCTACAAATGCCACACTCCCATTGTCAAGAGTTCAAAGTGTTGCAGTTCGGTCTTCGAGTTTGTTGAATTTTCAGGTATTTTCATTACACACTTGAACTTCTTATGAGAAAAATCATTGCTTTCTCTTTTCTTGATAATGCATGTTGCATAATGCAAAAAAGAGAGAAAGCAAGATGCTTTGGTCTAGGGTCCATCTTTTAGAGGACAAAGTTAAGGGGGAGAGAAAAAAATGGATGCTTTTGCTTTTCTCTCTTTGCTTTCTTTTTTTTTTTTCTCTCCCTTTCTTTCCGGTGTATTGGCCTTTGCACTATTTTCGGTATCGGTTGATGCCTTTGGATTCATTTAAATTTGAATCTGCTTTTGAATAACCCATTATTTTTTCTTAACATGGATTCAAACCAATCAATCATGGTCCTTTTTTGAGTGAACTTCACTTTACTTCGTCTTTTAACCCGAAACATGCACCATTATCAATTGGGTTGTTTTCAAAAACCATTCTTTCCTTCTTCAGATCATGTCATGTTGTGACTGGGTTGCATCTTCTTCAAGCAAGAGCTCAAACATGGCGTTCAACATCTCCTTCTTCCTCATCTTCACTGGATTGCTGTTCCACAACAGTGTCTCAGTAGTTGCCAATCTTGTTTCCGATCAACAAGCCCTCCTAAACTTTGTAGCCGCCTTTCCACACCCACGTAAACTGAACTGGAACAGCGGTCTTCCCATCTGCGCTTCTTGGATCGGTGTTACCTGCAACATGAACAGGACCCGTGTTGTTGCTGTTCGTCTTCCCGGTGTTGGGCTCTACGGTTCTATTCCACCGGACACCATTGGCAAACTGGACGCTC